TGGAAAGGTGATGGTTGCGGCATCGGCGTCTGGAACGACGTCACCGCCACCGGAGCTTGTAAGGGCATGGTCCCCGCGCCTGGAAGGGCGAATGGGAACATACCAGGGAGGAAAGGCATCCCCCCGTTCTGCTGGCACATGGCCATGACCTGGCCAAAGCCCTGGATGGCTTGTAGGTTGGCTGGGTCATTCATGAACTGAGTCATGCTTGGTGGGAACGTTACCCTCGGTCCAGCGGAAGGGACGGGGGTTACGAAGGGACTGATCACGCTGGCCGTCGGGACAGAGCTCAGACCCAAAGGCAACACCGGGGCTAAAATGACCGGTATGGTAGCAGCCACAGGGATGCTCGCTCCCTCGTTGGTGGCCTGCACCTGAGCGGAAGTAGCGTTGATTTGTTGGCTGGAAGACATTTCGAGTGGTGTTTTCGTGGGTAGGTTTGTGTTTAGGAAAAGAAATCTCAATTGTCCCACGGGTGGCGCCAAAAATGATGGTGTAAATTACTTGACTGGTCAAACTATACTAGACCGGGTCTAGAATAGTTTGCTTGATTTGGCAAAGTAAGAAAGGTAAAAACACGCAAATTGACCGGTAGGACTTTAGGTGGAACACATGTAGCCCGATTTATATTATAACGGAGAATGCACGGGTGCTTTTACAAGGGAGTTTAGAGAGAATGAATTCGGATCCCTCTTTCTGAGGTTTACATGAGTATTTATACTAAGCTAAGGGGACAGGACCACGTGCGCCCACGTGGAGGCACGTGTCTCGGATGTTGAGAGGTGATGGGCCTCGTCTCTTAGCTACCTTGTCGCCTTGTGAGGGGGATTATTCCCTTTGTCAGGTAGTGCCTTGGATGGATTCTTCAGCATCTCCAGTCGTCCTCTACTGACACGGGTCGCTACACGCCAATCCCTCGTAGATTCTCCTCTGCCGACACTTTCCAACCTCAGAAACTACACCGAGTAATCTCCGAGAGGTGAATTCATCGAAGTCTGGAATAAATAGGATGATAACGTAGTTTGACCGGTACCGGTCAAATTTTGGCCGATGACATATCGTTTTGCTGACCGGTCAAAGATTTGGCCTTCTCCTTTGACCGGTCTTGGGTGGAATACACCCATCAAAAACATATGTGATTTTCAATGTAGAACTTAAATTTTTTTATTCCTTAAATAGTACTCCCTCCGTCCCAAAAAGTTTTTCCTGTTTACTATTACGGTTTCTCGATAACTCTTATTTGTTTACGTGTTTTCATTGATCATTTGATAAAATAAAATATTCTTGTAACCTCTTATTTTGTAGAGTTTTCAATGTAGTTTTTAAATATAATTTTTTTATGTGTTATTTCCTTACCAATTTGCAATTAAAATCATTTTAAAATCCACGAGATTTTGCACGTTAATCAAAGTAGGAAATTCTTTTTAGGACGGAGGGAGTACTTAATAATATCTAGTGGAAGGCGATATAATGTCAAGTGATGGTGATCATTTACAGAAAGTCACTATGTTTTAGTCTTATTTAAATAAATTCTATATTTTAAAAAAGTATTTCATGCGTTGGCGTCAGGTTGGTGAATTGCTCGGTGCTCCAGCTTACACAGCACCAGTGCCCCTGGCCCCACCCACCCCACCTAACCCCAGGCCCCCAACTTAGCTCTCGTCTATAAAGGATAAAAAGAGAAAAAAAATGTAACTAAAAAAATACCCCTAGGCAGATCCGAAAAAACATCCTCCACACAGTTATGTCTCCCTTACTCTCTATCCTATCCACTCCCATCCTAGCCATCCTGGTCTATTATCTCCTCCGCCGCCACGTGGCAAAGCGCCGCCACCCCCTCCCTCTGCCGCCGGGGCCGAAGCCGTGGCCGATCGTCGGCAACCTCCCGGACTTGGGCCCGAAGCCGCACCAGTCGATTGCGGGCCTGGCCCGGAAGTACGGGCCCATAATGCACCTGCGCCTGGGGTCCGTGCACGTGGTGGTGGCCGCCTCCGCCTCCGTGGCGGCGCAGTTCTTGAAAGCCCACGACGCGAACTTCTCCAGCCGGCCGCCGAACTCCGGCGCCAAGCACATTGCTTATAACTACCAGGATATGGTTTTCGCGCCCTATGGCCCCCGGTGGCGGATGCTTCGCAAGATCTGCGCCGTCCATCTCTTCTCCGCTAAGGCGTTGGATGACTTCTGCCATGTCCGTCAGGTCATTAATTGCATGCCCCTCTTTTCCGGATACAACTTCCTTCTCCATAATTTATGAAATTGTTTTTAAAATAATTTTATTTCTAAATTGGTAAAGAAATTAAAAATACGGAGTCTATATTTTAAAAATGAGAATAAAATTAAGTTTAATATACATTTTAAAAATAAAAATTACATGCTTTTTATCCTAGAAATAAGAGTACAATGAGCATGATACCAATATATAGTACTCCCTCCGTCCCAAATTATTTGTCACATTTATTTTTCCAACAGTCGCGGGAACTTTTGTTTATTTCTACATTTTCATTGGTTATTTGATAAAATAAAATATTCTTGACACCTCTTATTTCGAAGAACTTTTCATGTAATTTTTTGATATGTAATTTTTATTTCTTTATCAGTATGTAAATAAAATGAATTGAAAAAACTTGATATTTTGTCTCGATAATAGAAATGTGACAAATAATTTGGGACGGAGGGAGTACCAAAAAATGCAGTGAGATGCCACTGTATAATGTTATAATATCATAGTAAAAAATTCTAATTTTGGGATAAAAATGAAACTTCTATTTTAGGATTAGATGTTACTCGGTATATTTTATTTTTATTTGAGGTGATTTTCTTATAAAAATATAATATTTCAAAGCATGGTGGTTTCAAAGTAATTTTCAATTCATTCGAGTTAATTTATCGCTTTTCAATTAAAATTACACCTGATTTTAAGTTAAGTGTAGTTGTGTTAAAAAATTTAAGTTCACAAAATTAGAGTCCACTATGAATTAAAGAAAATTAGCACTTATGAATGAAATTTGTTTAAGAGAAGCATTATAGAATGAAGCATATGCTCCAATTAATGTCTTATAGTCATTAGTTTCTAATGGCAGAAGAACCACACCCTATTTTAATACTAGAATTAATTTTGTTCTATTATAACATCTTTCTTGAACTTGTGATTACAAACTTAACTTTGTGATTTAATTAATTATTTAACGTAGTGTTTAAATATTCGAATATTTGAGAATTTGAAATCACAATAGTGACCTGTAACGAATTTGAGCACCATTGCGACCAACCGTGTGGTCCATGATGACGTTTTTTTTGCCCTTTTAATCTATTAAATTTCATAATTGTTAGGCTCTCTGTCCTGAAACATTCTTCTCAGTTATTATTTTTACGTTCAATCTTTGATCACTTTCTTTTCATATTATAGTCTTGTCAGTTCTTGTTTTGTATAATTTTTTATGTTGTTTTTAAATATACAAATTTTACCTTTTAATTTTATACCTTCAAATAACTTGAATTGAAAATTAAGTTGATCAAACCTCGTAAACAGAAATGGAAAGGACTTTTAGGATGAAGGGAGTAGTTTAGAATATGAAGTTTTCAATATTTAGTCCTCTATTTCAAATATTATGCCCCTGATTCTTTTTTTTTTCTCATGCTTTTCCACACATAGTCCTTTTTTAACTTATGTCTTCACAGACACGCAACAGTGTTCCGTATCTGTAATGTCTGTGAAGGCAATAGGAATCAAAAATGAGATTAAAGTGGGGTTAATATTATTTTTTTCTAAAAACGATTAGATAAAGCGTGGAGAATCAGTGATTTTTATTTTTTTACTTGTCTTGTTTTCTTGCACTAATGATCGGAAAATATTTTTTTATTTTCCACTTCTTGTTTTCTTACACCAATCGTTTCAATAAGTTTTGTTATTTTAATACTCCCCCGTCCCAAAAAGAATGTCACGGTTACTATTTTGGCCTCTCCATAACGTTCGTTTGTTTACTCGTTTTGGTTGACCATTTGGTAAACTAAAATGTTCTTGTCGCATCTTGTTTGGTAGAACTTTTTATATACTTTTGAATAGTGTAATTTTTACTTTTTATTTTTCTACCAATTTGAAAATATATTGATTTTAAAAGAAATCATATTTTGTACGTCGTTCGAAATATTGCAAATAATTTGGGACGGAGGGAGTACTTATTTTTTAACATTTTTCAATTATTTTCAATTTCTTCCGACCAATTTTTGTTTTTTCTAAATTCTGAAATTCCAGCTTAAAAATTGAGTGTAAAGAAAAAAATGGGTGCTAGTACATTAATTAAATGAACAAGGACCGGCATATTGTTGGGTTGGTAACAACAATTTAATTACTGCAGGAGGAGGTAGGAGTCCTCACGCGCGCCATCGCAAGTGCAGGCAAAGCTCCGGTGACACTCGGACAGCTCCTCTACGTGTGCGCCACAAACGCCCTCAGCCGCGTGTTGATCGGCCGGAAGGTGTTCCCCGACCAGACGGCGAGAATCGACCCGAAGGCGGAGGAGTTCAAGTCGATAGTGGTGGAGATGATGGTGGTTGCAGGCGCCTTCAACGTCGGAGACTTCATCCCCGCCTTGGAGTGGCTGGATCTGCAGGGGATCGCGGCGAAGATGAAGAAGGTACACGCGCGGCTTGACGCGTTCCTGAACACCATCTTGGACGAGCACGCCACCGTTAACGGCGTCAGTGGTAAGACGTCGTCGAGACACGTGGACTTTCTGAGCACACTTATTTCACTGAAGGGCGATGACGTTGACGGACCGGGTGGGAAACTGAGTCGCACGGAAATCAAGGCTTTGCTCCTGGTATGGCCCTTCCATGCATCCTCTAAGTTATTCTTCTCATCACTTTACTACCTACTCCCTCTCACTTCCAATTAATTCTTTTTTTAATAATGTGTAAAATGAGTCGTAACAAAAATATTTTATTAAAAACTTAACAAAACAAGTCGTTACAAAAATATTTTATTTTATTAAATGATCAATGAAAATATGCATACAAACTTATATTATCAAGAGACTTCATATTATAAAACGGGAAGAATAATTCGAGACGGAAAAGTTAAGGGAACGATTAGTTTGATATTCTTTTTTTTATTTGTCTAAAATAATGTCATTTTTCACGGGGTTACGCAAAATAATCTCATCGTCTTCTAATTGCGTATAATAATCACACTTCAATTTTTTTTAGGTCTGTTTAAGTCCATAGTTGTTGAAATAAATATACAAACCCTTTTTTAATGAAGACAAATTTTAAAAAATTAATTTATTTTTTAATATTGATTTATCATATTTTATAATATTGCTTTTTTTGAAACTTATGATGTTGATTTATTTAAAAGTCTATTTTTTAAATGGTCAAAATGTCTTTAGGGTCCGTTTGGTATACAGAATTGATGGAATTGGAATTGAATTGGAATTGTAATTCCATGAGATTCAATTCCATGGAATTGAATTCACCAATTCCCATTCATTTTTTGCACTATCAATTCCAAATCCACATAATTTATGTGCTACCAAACAACAGAATTGGAATTGAAGTCTTCAATTCCAATTCCATAGTTTGAATTCTGTGTACCAAACGGAGCTTTAACAAAAACAAAAAGTAAAGAATTGGTTTGGAGCATTACACTAATTTGAGGTAATCTCTGTCGATGTAGAATTTGTTTACAGCGGGGACAGATACGTCATCAAGTACGGTGGAATGGGCCATTGCAGAACTACTACGTAACCCAAATATCTTAAAGCAAGCCCAGCAAGAGTTGGACGCTGTCATCGGCCCAGACCGAGTGGTGGCAGAGTCAGACTTGGCCCAACTACCATTCCTCCAAGCAATTGTCAAAGAGACCTTTAGGCTCCACCCGTCCACTCCACTCTCTCTCCCGAGAATCGCGGCCGAGAGCTGCGAGATCAACGGCTACTATGTGCCCAAAGGCGCGACCCTCCTCGTCAACGTTTGGGCCATCGCACGAGACCCGGACGCGTGGAGGGACCCACTCGAGTTCAAACCGGACCGGTTTTTGCTCGGGGGAGAAAAGCCCAATGTGGATGTGAGAGGGAACGATTTTGAAGTGATCCCGTTCGGAGCGGGCCGTCGGATTTGCTCCGGGATGAGTTTGGGCCTGAGGATGGTCCAATTGTTGGTGGCGACTTTGGTCCATGCTTTTGATTGGGGTTTGCCCAACGGGCTTTCCGCGGAGAAACTCGACATGGAAGAAGCTTATGGGCTCACCCTTCAACGGGCCAAGCCGCTTGTGGTGCACGCAAAGCCCCGATTGAAGGCCCATGTTTATTCTAATTTGAAGATGTCATTGTAATTAAATTAAGCACTCTTGAGCCTTAGACTTGACACTTTGGCCTAGAATAAAAATGTACATTAAACCAAAGTACATTTATTTCTTGTGATCTAAAAAATCTACATTCACTCTTCTAGAATAAAAATGGCTTGTGATCTAAAAGTACTTTCATGTCTCTTTACGTCGTTAGGAAATTTGCGCAAACACACTTTGGTTCACAATTAACATTGAACCAAAGTGGCATGGTACCATTGGATAGTTACATTGTTCTCTTGGGTTTGAAAATTGTGTTTATACCAATTAAGACCTTGTTCTCTTCAGCTTATTTTTTTCTTTATTGTTTATTTTTATTGGATTTAGATCAAATTAGAAACAACGTTAACTTTTACTAGAATTGTATCAGACTAGATCGGAAAGATTCTCACCAAATTGATCTGATCCTATTTTAGTACATTTAGATCATAACTAATAAGTTCAAACATAACCATCCCAAATTCCCCCATTCTCTCTAATACTCTCTCCATTTGTTGATTCACTACATCTAAGCAAGAGACTGGATTCAAGCGTGAAACGAATATTCAGAGACCACGCATGATACGTTGTGTCGGTGAGTTTGTCGGGGACGAGATAATGTAGGTTACGGAGTAAAAGTTTGATCTCGGATGGATCACATGTGACGGGCGGAAAGATGGCACAGAGAAAAAGATAAACGTGGGCGATGATGTTTGGGTTGAAGTTGGCGGCGATCGAGAGAGTAGAGAGAGCCCGACAATGATTCTTAAGCAGGCACACACTTTGGTTTTTGGATGGAAGAAAATCTTTTGTCTGATATCACAATACAATTCGATAAAATTTAATTTTATTAAATAATTAGGATCCCACCTATATATAGATACAGTATATACATGGATTTTATAATTAAAGAAAGAATATAAAATATTGTAGTAAACATAATATGAAAAACTTATAAGAAATCTCATTATGATAAATCCTTATTTTGGGTTGTGAGCTACTTAGATCATGTTATTTTCAGCTTATTCATATTCTTTTTTTATTGGAATCAGATGAGATTAGATCAGAAATAACTTTAAATATAATTATATTCAAATTAAATCAGATTAGAACTTATTCTAATGAAATGTAGAGGACGTAGCCTTTGATGACTATATGACCCGCTAGGTTTTAAAAAAAATAAAAAATTAATAAATTCGTTGGCTTCAATTTTTCAAATACATTTGTGATTTAAATGGGTTTTAATGGTAAGTTTGGATTTAGCGGTTTGCTATTGTCTGATAATTGTTCGTGTATGCTGGTTTGAATGACCGTTTGAGATGATTATTTTGACCAATCGATTATATTGGCTATTGATAAAAATAATTTGACAAGCTTAGCTTCTTCAGAATAGCTTTAATAAATTCAATTAAAACCATATCTTAAATACTAAAAACCAAACATGCCCAATGTCTTATATGTAGTTCAGCGGCTTCAGCCTATGAGAGAAACGGGGGAAATGTTGTTCTTGTTCAATCTTAGAAGGCACCTTACCTGATTCCTATCGTCAATCTTCTTCACTAAGGTATGCTTTGATTTCTTGAGTTCGAATCTGCTCAATAGTACTGGTACATATACACACCAATCTGTCCGTGTTTCCTTCTGTTGCCCACCACATGTTCGATGAAAGCACACAGTGCTTGAATAGAACCATTTCTTACGATGTCTATACAGTATGATCTTGCTGAAATACACAGAGTATTGATCAAAGATTCTCAATTAAGTGATTATATAGATACAGTGTATTGATCAAGATTATCTTTTACATGATTTGTGCCACAGTTTTTAGTTTCATTAATGAATCTTGGTGTCAGAATCACTTGCAATTATCAATAATAATGATAATACTCCGTATAGAGGCTGGTCTGTGCCGCCACACAGTTTTGTTGTATTTCAGTATTAGAGGGGATTACTTGAAAAGCAGAAGTCATAACGCTGAAGCCAAATGCATTTAGTCCTAACTTTGCCAAAAAGTACTTTTGGAGCTCATTTTGCACTCAGAAGTCATGCACCATAAGCAGAACTAAATTTGTCAAACACACAAAACTGCTTTTTGGACGAAATAGAAGTTCAAAAGTTATTCTCTAACACAGTGTCAAACACCCTCTTAATCTTGGTGTGAGAATCACAATGACACAATCACTTGTGATGGTGAATTAGACAAGGTGGGGAGAATGTGTTAGACCTGATATTGCAATAATGATCATTGACCTGCTTGTCTTCTAACGACCTGATTTCGTCCTAGCCATTGTTACCCTTCAAGAATAAGAGGTGTTGTGGAAAATCTTCATACTCTAACCTTATTTGTCACGCTTATAACAAAGAAGCTTAAACCTTAAAGTGAGTTGTTGAAACTTGAAAACTAGTGAAAAGTGAGTGGCAAAGGAGTAAATTCGGGTTCAAGTTTTGGCAACGACGATAGAGAATGATCATGCTCTGCATGAGATTCTTGCTCTCGTGCCCCTCTGTTGTTTGGAAAATGGACGCTAATGCATGTCTGTGTGTGTCTTGGGTGTTGGGAGTCACTATGGCATCAGAGGTTGATGTCAAATGTAAGATTCCCAAAGCAAAATTATATAACATGACTAGTTTTAATCAAAAGAGTTTACTTACAGAATCCAAACTACAATTTAGCCCGTGATCGGAATTTGGAAAT